ATGTCGTGAAATAGCACCATTTTCCCGTTTTTCCGTTGTACACTCTAGGTATTATTAGCTCTTGATAGTATATAATTCGTCCAGCAAGGAGGCCTCCAAAATGGTGAATGTGGGAAGACATCCAAGAGTCTCATATTTATATTTGCAAGCCTAGGCTAGAGTGATTACTGTGATTTTTATCTAGCAAAATGCACCTGTTAGGTGTGATATTCGCCTGAGTAACTTTTTATTCATGCAGAAGGATCATAAGACGGCCGATTTCGTTTGAACCATTGTACAAATTCACACCGCAAAGAACTGGGCCTATAGAGAATTGCGATTGTGGTTCTTCTCAAAACGAAAGAATAGGGCCGACTTTGTTTTGATCTATTCAACCCACTTAGGAACACAAATTAAGCACATCTGAACTTCTCACATTTCATGAATAGTGGAAAACGGCATTCCTGTACTAGTGCATCGGTAATGGCAACCCCATTACGGGTACTCGCTAGGTTTGTTGTTGCAGTCACTGTACGCGGGCTATAGTACTAGAGCTAGGTGCGCGAATGACACGGATCTGCTCACAGGCACTTGAAGCGTTTCAATAAAATATAATGCTAAATAAATACGAAATCTAATACTAGTACTACAAAATTCTTAATGTTTTTATAGCCCTACTCTCTTTCACCTATTATTGCCGACAGTTTCCTGTCAATTCCTTGTAAATGCTCTATGCACACATACTATCGGCCGCCATTCCTCACGCTGCACAGTGACTGTTACTATATATATTATATATAACAGCTATCTACCGGGCTGGAGATAGAGATAGGGCGGGTCCTGTGTTCTCTGCCACCACCATCGGAGAGTCTTCCCGGAGCAGGAGCCCCTCGTGGGGTCATCCTAGAATTATACGACGTGCGACGCCTTCTCCATCGGCCGGCGCTAGAGGGTTGTGCCCAGGCCGAGCCTTGTTCAGCGGGGTGCCAGTCCAACGCCTCGCTGGTACCAACGGCCTGCTGGTCGTGGTGCGGAGCGTGCTTTCTACCGACGTACCACACGGGAGAGCACGAACAGGAGTTCCACTGCCGTACCGGGACCACTCATGCTTGTCCGGTGAAGGACTGCCGTTTCCGGACGCCGGTGAGTCTTGTCTACAGGATGGTCCAGCACCTGAGCCGAGTCCACCAGGTGTGGAGGAAGCACCCATCCCAAGCCCACAGACGTGCGGGTGCGGGATATCTGGTGCCGTTGAAGGGAGTGACGATTCCAGACCCAGACCACTTCCGAGGGCAAGCGAAGGTAACACGCGTGGCAACAGCGGAGGGCTCTGCGAAGGAGGGGCGTGGCAGGAAGCGACGAGCCTCACCCCTGGGATTCGCGGCGAAGAGGAACCGGCGCTCAAGCCGGGACTGCTTTGCCGCCGAGGCGGACATACGCACTTGGAAGTTGCCACCGCGACTCGTAGAGCAGCAGCCTCGGCTTCGCATTGGGCTAAGGATGCAGATGCCGGCTGCGGAGCTCCGTGTCGCAGAGAGCATGATGGAGGCTCGGCTGCTAGACGATACGCGCGACCTAATTGCACTACGCGCTACTATACGGGAGAGAGCGTGTACAGATACTGGGTAGATAGGCGTGACAATGTAATAAACCATTTTGAGACGTTGAGACGAACATGATCTGGTTTTTTTATTATATATTATGCACGCCTGTAGTATGTCGGTTGTGATGTAAATAATGTATATAATTCAGAAGCGCTATTCATAGTGTAGAGGCACATTGGCAGGAAAAGATGTAAACATTACAAACTTTAACATACCGGAGCTTGCTGATGTAGTTGGTGATTGTAGCTGCTGCCGCTGTGCACACTGGCTGCCGCACATATGTGTACACTACTGGTAATTCGGCGAGTTCACTGTATGCAAATCTTTAGCCGTGTTCATGTGCATCCGTCTCTTATGCTGCGGTTTATTGAATGGAGTATGATTAATGGTGAGCGGACAGGATGTAGGTGGCGCCCTCTATCTAGTAGCGCTATTATTGCAGCTAGTTTCTTATAAAAAATTTCTGGGTCACGCCCCGGCCCAGTGTTGAACACTGGCCGCAGCGCTTACTACCCAAGGACCACGGCCGGAGCCGCTATCCATTCGCCCCTGCCGACAGGCGCAATTGCTACTATTTGAAGGTTAGATATATGCGCTAGCATTGTGTCTCCATATGCTGGGCGCCATG